GTCAGATCTTTTCCTCTAAACCTAAAACACACTGCCATCAAGTTGATTCTGACTCATAGCGACCCATTAGGACAGAGCAGAACTGTCCCAAAAGGTTTCTAAGGCTATAAATCGTTAGAAGGCAGACTGCCTCATCTTTTTTTCTGTGGAGGAGCTGATAGCTTCAGACAGCTGACCTTTTGGTTAGCAGTTCACTGCTTTAACCACAGTGCCACCAGAGCTCCTTTTCCTCTAAAGTGTGAAGGAAATACAGATACAAAGGTGTTACCAACACACTAACAGCTATGTCCTTTTGTCCAGCTAACGTATAGAATCTTCCTAGTTTTAAAGATGTTTAAAGTTGGAATGCCCCAAATAAAACCTAATACTGTGGTTTTCAGTTAAGTCCTGTCAGATCTACCCAGTGGGGCTCAGGAATCTTGCTGTTTAAGCAGAGTTTGAAACTAACAGGAGCTGCAACAGCAAAAGCAGTTAAGGCCTTCCCTCTCACATATATGACACGGCCTTCTGTGGAACAGTATACTAGAGAGCACAGCGGACTAGCAATCAGTCACGTGATAGAGCTCTTGCTTTGTAACAATTTGTTATGTGACCCTGGGCAACACACATAAATCACTGAATTTTGTCAATTATGTACTTCAAATCTGACGCCCTTTCCCCACAGCCACTACCACATCCATCCCAGGTCATGGCTACTGTCATCTTTCCGGGACCACTGTAATACTGGCTGCTGACTGGTCTCCCTGTGTCATCCCGTCCTGCCCCTTCAACCTCCAATCCATTTTCCACATGGCAGCCAAAACGCCTTTTTAAAATAAGCTCAAATCTGATGATATCTGCTAAAACAAGGAGCCTGGCTGCACAACAGTTAAATACTTGGCTGCTAACCAGCCCGCCAGTGACTCCGTGGGAGAAAGATCCGGCAATCTGCTCCCGTGGAGATTACAGTCGAGGAAACCCTATGGCACAGTTCTACTCAATCAGTAACTAGGAGTTGGAATAGACTCAACAGCAAACTACAACATCTGTTAAACCAAAATACTCTGTGGCTTCCCACTGCATGTAGGATATACATTTCTAAAATCCTTGAGAGGACCAAAGGACCTCATAGCAGCTCTTCCTCAGCTACCTCTCCAGCCCCCTCAAGGGCTATTCTTTCTCCTCCTTCCTATGCTCCAGCCCACCTGGCTGCTCTCTGTCCCTCCAGCACCCCTCGCTTCTTCCCATCCCATAGATCTAACTCTGGCTCTAACAGTCCTCTCTCTTTGCTTAACTCCTACTCATTTTTCATATCTTCTTGTTGTTATGTGCCAAGGAGTTGGACCTGACTCATAGCAACCCCTCCTTGGGTTTCTGAGGTGGTATCACTACGGAAGTAGACTGCCCCATCTTCCTTCCGAGGAGTGGCTGGTGGGTTTGAGCCGCCAGCCTTCTGGTTAAAAGTCAAATGCCTTAGGCACTACACTACCAGAGCTCAGTTAGTTAGGGTACCCATTATCCATGGGAGCTCTGGTAGCATTGTGCCTAAGGCATTTGACTGCTAACCAGAAGGCTGGAGGTTCAAGCCACTCTTTGGAAGGAAGGTTGGGCAATCTAGTTCCGTAGTGATACTGCCTCAGAAACCCAAGGAGGGGTCGCTATTAGTTGGGTCTGACTCCACAGCACATAACAACAACAACAACAACAACAACAACACCACCACCACCACAACATTATCTATGGGAGCTCTGGTGGCGTAGTGCCTAAGGCATTTGACTGCTAACCAGAGGCTCGCGGTTCAAACCCACCAGCCACTTCTCGGAAGGAAGGTTGGGCAATCTACTTCTGTAGAGATACTGCCTAGGAAATCCAACGTGGGGGCGCCATGAGTCGGATCCTACTCTATGGCAGTGCACTGTGTTTGTGTTGCATTATTATCCATGCTTGTAGTATCCTGTACTTTCCTTTCATATCACATACTACATTGCAATTAAATAAGTTATTTGTGGAATTATCTGTTTAAAGTCTGTTTCCTCAGCTAGACTGAAAAATCCATGAGGGCAGTGAAGTGTCCATTTGTTCACTTGATCCCTTGGACCCAGCAGGTGGTTAATGAATATGAGTTTGATGTGTTTAACACTGGGGCCTCAATTTTCTCATTCGTAAGATGGAGCTACAAATTCTTGTTTTATCTGGATCTTGAGTTTTTGTCTATGGAATAGATGAACTAATATCCATATGTAAAAAGTGATTTGGAAACTATAAAGCGCTTTATACATTAAAATGTTTTACATGTAATGAATATGTATATATTTTCTATGGGTGAGATCTATGACAGGGGCAGTCACTGACTGTTATCTTTGTGATGGGCGAAAAATAAACAATCTGTGAATATAAACATTTATCTGTTCATATATATATATGCATGCAACAGGTATGTGCTTTTTCTTTCTGTAGTTGTATAAAAGACAGGCATGGGATTTGATGGATTCTGGCATCCTCAAGGACCAGTATTAGGAGAAGACCATCAAGCTTTAAAGTCATGCCCTTATTTTGTCTACTGAAATTCCATCTGGAACAAGACTCTTTTATGCCAGAAGTAGATCAACGTACACTCAAGAATACACTGTATGTACGAAATCTTCATGGAATATCACTCTTTGGAAATAAACCAGAATGAATTGTCTTTCCTTAAAAGAAAGACCATCTTTTAAATCAAAAGGCACTTGTAAGTAAACAGTGATAAATATATCCTAAGATAAAATGGAAAAAAAAAAAAAACAAGCAGGATTCTTACCTCTGAGATATAACATAATGAGAAGACTGGGTTAAAAGACGAGAAAGACATAAACAGCTGCAGTGTAGTGTACTTAGGGGCTAGCTGTTTTGATACCACAGACAGAACTTTCAGGCTTTATTTAATTTAATCCTCAAAATATCTCCTGAAGGGTACATATTTTTATGGGTGAAGAAATCAAGGTTTTAGAAAATAACACCCCTTTCTGAGGCTTCACAGCTTGTAAGTGGCACAGTCAGGATTTGAACTCAGGCAAGGTGTCATCAGAGGCCCCCCTTAATGCCCCAGGTATAATCATTTGCTCCACTGTCTGCTCCTCTACTGGCTAGCATTTCATATTTCTTTGGCATCTAGTGCCTAGCACAGGGCCCACAGCATAGTGGGCATTTGATAAATATTAAACAAAGAAAAAAAATTGCAAGTAGAGTAAAAATATGAATCTGAAGTGGATCACACCAGCAGAAAAGACAGCAGGTGACATGCTTTGGAAGGGAGGGTCATTTGAAACTGAATAAATCCAACACGCTCAGAGGCAGAAAAGTCAAGTGGAAAGCAGAGGGTGACAGCAGAAGCTCCAGCCAGAGTGCAGCCTCTGCTCTGGCTTTAGCTGGAGGGAGAGGGACTAAATGGCAAGAGGGAGAACAAGAACAGCACTCTGGCAGAGCACATAACGAGTTTAGAGTTAATGTGAGAAAAATGGCAACTCTCATTTCCTCCTGAATAGAGGAGAGGTGCTCAAAATAAGTTTTAATGCTCTATGGGGTGAGACCAGAGGAGGACAGAAGATGGTAGTGGAGTGGTAACTCAGAGACTGCTGTTGTAACTCATACATGACCAGACAGAAGCTTGGATCAGAGGTTGAATAGCTCTGGCAATGAATGAGACAAGTCCAACTGAGCTGACTAAGATAACTCAGGGTGATAGTGCATTACTATAGTCTTCTCTATAGGCAGTTTGTGGCTCTGGTATTTTGTATAGACAGTCTTCAACACACAATGATTCAATTGCTGTCAGTTCTTATTTACAACACTCACAGCAAGCAGCGCCCTGTGGATTTATACTAGCTTCTTTGTTGCCTGATCTTCCTGCTGTCTCCCAGACTCCTAATTTCACTTTGGTTCTCTAAGATCTAGGCTAGCACCACTATAACCCTCCAACAATGGTTTTGCAGATGTCTCTTCTATCTTGCAATATAGTAATTATCCTTTTAGAAATGTCATCAACATGCAACCATATATTTCAGTTGGTTCTTCCATAAAAATAGAAACAGAAAATAAAACACTGTTTTAGAAATCACTACACCAAAATATAGGAGCTCTGGTGGCATAGTACCTAAGGCATTTGACTGCTAACCAGAACCCACCAGCCATTCCTTGGAAGGAAGGTTGGGCAACCTACTTTTGTAGTGATACCACCTCAGAAACCCAAGGAGGGGTCTCTATGAATTGGATCTAATTCAATGGCAGTGCGATGCGTTGCATTTAGACCAAAATATAATAAAGTAACCTAGGTAAAAGAGGCCTCTGCCAAAAACAGAACCAAAAATAGCAGGACGGCAGAAAGATTTGCTTAAAACCAACCTGTCTGCCATATTACGATATGGAATGTGCTAGGAGCATGGGGCTGATATGGGCTTGGGGTAGGTAGCATCATGATGATAAGAATGCCCAGACAGAGATTCTGAGTGGGAATATGGGTGGAAGAATGGGAGGAGAGACAAAGAAAGAAGGGTTTCTGCTTTTGAGATATGTAAATAGGTAAAACCAAGTGTCCATGTTCAAAACCTTTTTGGGTGCTGCACACCTGTAGTTTCCCATGCTGTTTGGCTGTCAGTGTGGGTAACAAATCCTGTAGCTACATAGCCATACTGCCTCACATGTCTTACCCAGTGGCTTCACTATGTGGAAGAAAAAATGGAAAGGCAGAAGTTTGCTCTCTTGGTGTCCTATGTAAACCATACTCAGACTGTAGTGATTGAGGTACTTGGAGGGACACTTAAAAAAGGTCTCAACACAACAAACAATACATATTCAACATCATAGCTCTAAATAGCTAACCTCTAAGAATGATAAACATTTCAATAAAGTGTTCTTAGACCAGCTAATAAATATACCTCTCATGATAAAACAGATTTATGCCAAGACGGTAAGAACTAGATTTTAGCAACAGAGCATCCATTTGGAAACATCTAATAAGAAAGTATAAGGTATTTCTGATATCCTACCTCTGTGAGGTATTTGTTCCAACACCACATGGAGTAGCACTTCCACCAAGGTACACTGGACTGCAACTAGATGTGTTCAACAGATGGGAGGAAAGTGAAAGTACAACAAAAAGGAAATATGAGAAGTTAATTTAGCCTCGTTCACTCTCTGTTCTTATAATCAAATTGTATATTTTCCCTAGCAAGCCAACTGTTTCAAAGAAGAGGTATTTATCCCATGATCCCTGCTTTATTGGACAGAACATGGGCATTCAGGAACACTTGAGGAGTTGAAATGAGTCACAGAAAAATGTGTTTGCCAAATAATGTAGGGGACAAAATAAATACTGAAGAATATAACAGAACATTAATTTTGAGGAACTGTTCACACTTTTTTCCCCACATGGCAGAAAATTATTTACAATAGCAATAATCTCCCATCTGAGTTTTTACACTAAGGGGTCACAGACCATAAGAATACTGAAGATACTGCCAGTGCGCTTTCTCCAAAAAACTAACCAGTGCTTTGTTGTTCAATGTCGCTGTTATTTAAATGGTAACAAAATCCACTAGACTATGCTCACAGTGTTGGCTCATGAGTGCATACAATTCACCAAAGCAACCTTAACTTACCTTTTACCAAGGCCTTGAATGGAAGCTCTGACAGGTGTGTTATCTGAAGATTTAGATTTTAATTTCTGTTAAAAAAAAAAAAAAAAGACAAGAAACAGCCAAAGATAATTGGAGAGCATTCTAACACAAAAATTAACATTCTTTGTTTTATATTAAGAATTTTTTAAAATGCCTTAAATAAAAATCTTGGTGGCATCATTAAGTTTCTGAAATAAAAACAGTGATCAAAACCTTTTAAAGGCAGAAGGGAAGCAGAATTCCCTGAGGAATTTGCAAATTACTCTGCTAACTTTTAGTCTAGGAAATTGATATACTGACACTGCTAGCATGGTAAGATTTAGAGTCCTTTTATAACTCTTCAGTTAATACTAGAGCTCAATGATTTAATATGAAAGACCTGCTATTTAAAACTTCATTCTGGAAAAATTCAATTGAGGAGAAAAAAATCAGACTCATTTTTAAAGGCTGTGAATGGTACTCATCTGAACTAAAAATAACCAAACTCCTGGGTAACTTCAAGAATATTAATTTTGATCAAATAGAATGGTATCAGCCAACAGACGTTCAAGGAAACTGTAGAGCTACTTAGTCACAACCACACAGTAGTTCCTACGTGGTTGCGTAACATCATTAGCAAGCATTTATTAAGTGTTAAGCGGTATATGGTACCCAACAATATAAACCAACCACATACTAGGACCACCGCCAAGAAGAGGAAAGGAGATGGAGAAAACGCAATTTAAATCATGTAGGGATATGCCTTCATTTACCTAGTGGGTTAGAAAATATAATGAAGGTAAAAAGATTTCATTTTACAATTTCTTTTCACTATTTTATTTAATGTAAACAGAACTAGAAAACTTTTTGGTCCATGTCTGAGAAATAACTGCATGATCCTCTCTGTGTTTCGGAGAACATGTTGCATGTTCCCACATTCTTTCTTACATCTGGGCTCATGTTGACAACTCTCGGCCGGCATACTCGGACGTTTGCTGTTGGTTCTTGAGCTTCCTTGTGTGGGTCAAAGAGCAAGAGGGTGGGGGGAGGAGCATTCTCAGGAGCATCATGTGGCCTCTGAGGAACCAACTTGGTGGCGACTAACAACAGCAAGGACAGTGTGGGTATGGACCAGCCATTCCCAGACATCTTTTTTCTTTTTTTGTCTCACTCAACACAGAAAAGTCATGGGCTGTAAATATATCAGTGGCTGTCAAATTATTTTCTGAGCTTTTCATAAAGTTGAGAGATACCCAAATATTAAAAAAAAAAATTAAAATACTGATGATTTAATCATTGGTTCGTGGGTAACAAAGACCGGTTACTAAGCACACCCTATGACGAAAGCTGTTTGTGTTCAATCTTTCAGAAAAGTATTCTTAGACAAATAAATACAAGTAAGCAACTTGATCTGTGAGTTGACTTTTGTTCTAACACCTTTTCTAATTTCTCATTCTTGCTGAGAAATGAGGAGCAAAACACCTAGAGTTCCTAATATTTTATTTTTCCTACAACTCTGAATAGAATCATTCCTTTAAGTAATTATATTTCTCAGAATTCAGAGGGCTGTAGATAGCTACTTGCTCCTTCTTTAAGTTTTTAGACTATTCTAAACACATCCTGAAATAATTCAAGAATTATTGTACATTTATAACACTTGACTTACGAAAGGTTTTTTGTCAAAGTTAGGCTCTTCAAATATTTCATTAATAAGACTGTCAAGATCATCTGCTTTATTAAATGTGTCTGTCAATCTGAAAAAGAAAACATATCTGAAGCTTAAAAGCAGATAATACAACCAATATCAGAAAAATTTTATAAAATAAAATAAAGTCCATTACTAGAGTTGATAACAGAAGGCTAAATATATTAATTATTTCCCCCTGCTATGGACATAGCCCTAAGATTGCTGAAACAAAGATATAGTATATCGGGTATAAATTCACACATGTACTTTACTGTGAAGGAGCTCTGGTGGCGTAGTGGGTAAGGTGTTCATCTGCTAACCAGAAGGTCAGTGGTTCAAACCTATCAGCCGCTCTGCTGAAGGAAGCTGGGGCAATCTATTTTGTCAAGATTTACAGTCTTGGAAAATGGGAGTCACTATGAGTTGGAATCGCCTCAATGGCAGCAGGTTTGGTTTTACTTTACTGTTACATACTTAAAGCATTTAAAGCTATATACTTTTCTAAATTACATCAAGCACTTACTCAGAGAATACAAAATATGGACAGTTATAAACAGATGGAACTTTCAGGGAAAAAAATTAGACTGGTTAAAATTGTACTTGTTTATAATACTGGATTCTGCTTATAACTGTCTATATTTTGTATTCTCTAGTGCTTGATGTAATTAACCTAACCCTATCTATAACTGGAAGAAGGAGCACTGGTGGCACAGTGGTTAAGGCATGTGGCTGCTAACCAAAAGACTGGCCGTTTGAACCCACTAGCCATTCTGCAGGAGAAAGATGGGGCAATCTGCTTCCGTAAATATTTATAGCCATGGAAACCCTATGGGGTAGTCCTACTCTGTTATATAGGGTCTCTATGAGTTGGAATTGACACGATGGCAATACGTTTTTTGGGTTTTTATTTTCTAGAGGAGCCAAAGGTTTTAAAAACCAAAATTAATTTAAAAAAAAAAAAAAAAAAAAAGCCGTTTGTTTGACAGAGTATCTCCAATACCTCTTTATCTTCTGCAGGCAAAGCTATCAAAGGACTACTGATACAAACTGGTGCTGCATCCTGAAGTTCCATGTTAGCATCTGACACTAACTGGATACTTACTGTATGTCAGATGTAACTAGTTCTACAGATGAATAAACACACTGAGAGATTCAGACACTTGCCCAGGTCATATACCTACTGGGTAGAAAGAGGCCTGGAATCTAGGGCAGTCCACACACCTAGTTCTATTCTGGATTAACTCACTTTAGAGTTTAGTATGCTACAGATGCTGTACATCAACCAACTTCATAGGAACATTAAATTATTTGTTTTAGAAGAAAGGTGTTTTAGTCAAATGCTTGAATTTTAGAAATGTATTTGTTGTTGTTATGTGCCGTCGAGTTGGACCCGACTCAGAGTGACCCCTCCTTGGGTTGCCGAGGCAGTATTACTACTGAAGTAGATTGCCCCATCTTCCTTCCAAGGAGTGGCTGGTGGGTTTGAACCGCCAGCCTTCTGGTTATCAGTCAAGTGCCTTAGGCACTATGCTACCAAAGCTCCTAGAAATGTATTTACTCTTTGAAAATTCTAAACATCAGGAATTTAGCCTTTTTCTTCTTATTGCTTAGAATAAGACAATTTAACTCAGGGCAATGAAATCCAGAGATTGCTGCCTAATTCTGAACTGCTGATTTGATCTCTCTCCACGACTCTGCCTGTTCAGTTGTTCCCTAACTTTTACCTTTAATATCTTTCATTCTCTACTGGCTTCTTTCCTTGGCTTGTACAGTCAAGTCTTTCTTCTTCAAAAAACCCTTCTGAAGCTGCTACTCTCTCTCTCACTAATGAAGAGTAGTCGATATCCATGATTTCTACTTACTTATAAGTAGACTAGGAGCTCTGGTAGTGTAGTGCCTAAGGCACTTGACTGCTAACCACAAGGCTGGCGGTTCAAACCCACCAGCTTCTCCTCGGAAGGAAGGTTGGGCAATCTACTTCCATAGTGATACTGCCTCGGAAACCCAAGGAGGGGTCGCTATGAGTCGGGTCTGACTTGATGGCACATAACAACAACAACATAAGTAGACTGGATTTTCACCTAGATAAGAGTTTCTCAACCTCGGAACTAGTGACAATTTAGCCAGAAAATTCTTTGGATATGAGATGGGGGCTGTACTATGCATGTAGGATGGTTTGCAGCAATCCTAGCCTCTCTACCCACTGGATATGGAGCCTTGGTGGTGCAATGGTTAAATGCTTGGCAGTGCAAATCCACCAGCTTCTCTGTGGGAGAAAAGACCTGGTAATCTGCTCTTATAAATATTACAGCCTAGGAAATTCTATGGGGCAGTTCCACTCTGTCATATAAAATCACTAAGAATTGGAATTGACTCCGTGGCACACAAAACAACCCACTGGGTGCTAGTAGCACCTCCTTCCCCAGTTGGGGCTATAAAAAATGTCTCCAGACACTGCCAAATGTCCCTGAATGGTAAAATCATCACCAGTTGAGAACCACTAACTTAGTTTAAATTATTCACGTAGTGCCTAAAGGCACTTGACTGCTAACCAGAAGGATGGCGGTTCAAACCCATCAGCCACTCCTCGGAAGAAAGATGGGGCAATCTACTTCCATAGTGATACTGCTTCGGAAACCCAAGGAAGGGTCGCTATGAGTTGGGTCTGACTCAACGGCACACAACAACAACAACAACAAACCTTAGATGGGTGTTCTGGTAGCATAGTGCCTAAGGCATCTGACTGCTAACCAGAAGGGTGGCGGTTCAAACCCACCAGCCACTCCCCAGAAAGAAGATTGAGCAAGCTACTTCCACAGAGATACGGCCTCAGAAACCCAAGGGGGAGGGGTCGCTATGAGTCGGATCTGACTCAATGGCAGTGAGTTTTTTTTTTTTTTTATTAAAACCTCAGATATTGGGGAGTTCCGACAAGATGGCGGACTAGGCAGAAGGATTGCACAGACCCTCTTCAACAAAGAAAAGGGAAACCAATTAACACAGACACAGAAGATAA